GGATGCTTCAGTGCTTCTTAGAAGGGGGAACAAAATACTCACAGGAGAAATATGGAGACAAAGTGTGGACCAAAAACTGAAGGAAAGGCCATCCAGAGATTGCTCCACTTGGGGATCCATCCCATATACAGTTGCGAAACCAGGGTGCCTTTATGCATGCTGGGAAGTGCTTGCTGACAGGATCCTGAGATGGCTGTTTACTGAGAGGCTCTGCCAGAGCCTGACAAATACAGAGGTGGATGCTCACAGCCAACCATTGAACTCGGGGTCCCTGATGGAGGAGTTGGAGAAGGGACTGAAGGAGTTGAGGGGGTTTGCAGTCCTGTGGAGGTTGCAACAGTGTCAACTGGACAGACCCCTGGAGCTCCCAGGGACTGGACCACCAACCAAGGAGTACATGCAGAGTGTGCCACAGCTCCTGCCAAGTGTGTGGCAGAGTATGACCTTGTTGAACATCATTGGGAAGAATGGCCCTTGGTCCTGTAGGGGTTCAATGCCCCATTGTAGGAGGATACCAGGGTGGGAATGCAGAAGTGGGTGGGTGGGTGGTTGGAAGAGCACCCTCATAGAGGCAGGGGAGGGGGGATGGGATAGGAGTTTTCTGGAGGGGAGACCTGGAAATGGGATAACATCTGAAATTTACATAAAGAAAAAATCCAATAAAAGAAAAAAAAAAGAGACAATGACAACTTTGTTACACTAGATTATTAGAGAAAGATTATAATATTACCAGACAACAAGCATGGTGGGAGACATAATGAGGGAGGGATTGGAGAGGAGGAAGGAAGGAATAGAGGAAATAGAGAGGAAAGAAGACAGAGAGATTACAAGACACTTAGGAAATGGAAAAGTCTAGATAAAGCAGAAGGTCGAGGTGGAGCGGAGGAGAACTAGCCATGCCAAGGTCTAGGCTGTGTCTCCCAGCCCACAATGGGGGCTGGGCACAAGGGCCCAGTTATGTTGTCAGTGACCACAAGGGCATATCTTCTGCAACATGGGAAAAGAAGAAGCCAGATCAATAAAGGAAGTTGCTGGCCACAAGGAGGTGGAGACAGAGAGGTCCTGTCCCCAACTCAGTCCTCCAGATGAGAAGGCCTAGGATCTGTCTCACTTTACCCTGATTCTCTCTGGACTCCTGAGCACCCCAGTGTCCATAGACAGGGCATTCTCCCCTTCCTGATGGCTCTGCTGGTCTTGCTTCCTGGAAGGACTCTGGCCATGGCTCAGATCCTGCTTCTTCTGCTGTCAGCAGCATGTCTGCCCACTGGTGAGTAGTGGGGACCTCACTACCAGGGACTTAACCACAGGAGGGGACAGTGGGGCTGGAAAGAGTGGGTATCATGTGGACAGATGTCTGCTACTGGAGCCAGCCAGGCCTCTCTGTCTCTAGAGAGAGCTCATTTCTCAGAGAGAGCCTAACCCAACCCTTTTCATGCTTTTCTGTCCCACCAGCCATAGGGACAGTTCTGCCCTGTGTCCCACCCCTTCCTGTGAATGAAGGCTCAAAATGTTCTGGATTGTCCTTTACAACTGTCCCCTGTCACTGTTTCCTGCAGTGGCTTCAGATTCTCCCTGTCCTTCCCAGGGAACTCTGCAGGAGACAGCAGAGAAAATAACTTTGGATTCAACCAGCCAGCAAACCTCTCTGGATTCCAGGGCGGCTCCATCGAGATCCCCTTCTCCTTCTACTTCTCCTGGGAGTTGGCCAAGGATCCACAGATAAGCATAGCCTGGAGATGGAAGCACTTCCATGGGGACTGTATCTACAACTCCTCCCTGCGTTTCATACATGAGCACTTCAAGGACCGGCTCATCCTAAACTGGACAGAGGGTCAGACATCTGGAGTCCTCAGAATCCTGAACTTGAAGGAGACTGACCAGGCCACATACTTCGGCAGAGTTTTTCTGCAAACAACAGAAGGCGTGAAGTATTGGCAGTCAATTCCTGGGACCCAACTCAATATGACCAATGGTGAGTACATCTCAGCCCTAGCGATGGTGACCCCTGGCTTCCTTATACCATAGATGTCATTAGCCTAGTCTCATCCTTCCCATAAATTTTTCTCATGTATTTTCTCTCCTTCCCAGAGCTCCACCAACTTTGCCTTTTCCTTCTCCGTAATCATCTGCAAACCTTAGCAGCTTTCTCTGAGCTGGCCCCTCATCGTACCCTCAGACCCCACCATCCTACTCCCAGTCCTCAGTTCTTTCTAGGTGGCCCAGTTTCCTGTTCCTTTCTCCAAACTTGCACTACCATCCTTCCTGTCCACTTCCACCCTCACTGCTAGAAATCCATGGGTATCTGGCTTCTCTAGGATGGAGCAGCCATCCCTTAGTCCTGCATCTGGGTCTCAGTTAGATGAAGGGTTTATACCATATCTCATGGCTTCTACAGTATGTAGCTTCTGGTCCCCGGGTACCTCTGGCTCTCCTACTTCACCAGTCTCTAAGACACATCCCCCACCTTTCCCTCAGTTTCTTTTTTCCCCTCTCTTATTTCCCTCTTCTCCCTCCTTCCTCCTCAAGCCCCATCTTTCTCACATGGACCCTCATGGTCTTACCATGATCAGGTTTTCTGTTTATATCACCTCCGTTGCAGCTGTAACTGCATCCACACAGAGTGCGCACAGGCCCAGCCTAGTCACTGTGTGGACATTTCCCCAGCCTCTGTCAGTCACCACTGCTGGACACTCTCATGGTCATTATACAGAGGGAGACACAGACACCAGCAGAGCTCAACCCCTGCCCAAGGTCACGCTGGTGATGCAGGCCTTGAAAGGGACCCTTTACCTCCAAGTTCTCTCAACCAATAGATGCAAGGAGTTCATCTATTGAGTTCACTCTGCTTGAGTTCACTCTATTGCTTGCCTCCCTCTGTCTTAATTTTGTAGAGCATGGATATATGGTATAAGTATGTATGTGTGTGCATGAGTGCATGTGTGTGTGTGTGTGTCTGTGTGTGTGTGTGTGTGCATATGCCCCACTTTGTGTTTGTGGAGATCAGAGGTGGACATTGGGGGCCCTCCTCTAGCAAGGCCCACCTTATTCCCTTGAGGCATGTTCACTGAACATGGAGCTCACCGTTTTGGGCTTAGACTGAGCTGTGAAGCCCCCTTGATCCTTTGTCTCCATCTGCCATGGGGTTGTGGTTACAAGTGCTCACATGGCCTAACTTACAAAATAAGGTGTATGATGTCTGAGGAAGGAGCACCCAAGGTTGACCTCTGGCCTACACACACACACACACACGTGAACACATATACACACAGGCACACACACACACGTGAACACATACACACAGGCACACACACATGAACTCATACACCCATGAACACCTATACACACATGCACACACACATGAAACATATGCACACAGGCACACACACACACACATGAACTCATGTACAAATATGTGTATGCAAAAATGTAATAAAACACACACATTTCTGGAAAATAAAATATAAAATTGTCAAATAACAGTTGATTATCAGTAATTACATTGTCAGTTCTCAGCAGTGCCAGTGATAAATGGGCTGTCCCTTCTAGATCAGACCCACCTGCCCTTCCCTGGCAAACCACTGACTCATCTTGACCCCTGTGCTGGTTCAGGATAAACTCCACAGCCACAACTGGCCGGGCAGCCATATGTCTGTGTTTCCAGTGCCTCCTACATAGTTCCCTAAATGGTTTTCTTCTGAAACTTCCGTTCTTCCCAGGCCCCTCCCTCTTCCTCCTTTGATGCTCTCTCCTGGCCTTTGAGATAATGTTAGGTCCTTGGTATAACAATCACTGTAAGGCAGCCATGTCTCTCTCTGCTTCAGTCAGACACACCATGTTTTTCTGCTTGTCCCCACACTCATGATAGACCAGGACTCTGCCAATGAGTTATACCTCCCCTCTACTACGGGTTCTTGCATCAGTATTTTTTTTAAATTAATTCATTAACTTAATATTCCTGTCTGTTATTTTTTTTAATACATGCCCTGTTAAAATCCACTAGGGCAACAAAGGAAATATTTCATTAAACAAAGTCCTGGAACTGAATAGAAATGGTAGAAGGACTACAAAATGAATGTGCTCTAAGCTATTGAACTGTATACTGCATAGTTCAAATGCTTGTCTTATATTAATACATTTATGCCAATAACAATAAATTTTTTGAGACAGGGTCCCACTATGTAGCTCTCACTGGCTTAGAACTTCTTATGTAGACCAAGCTGGCTTTGAACCCACAGAGCTATGCCTGCCTCTGCCTGTTGAATACTGGGATTAAGAATGTGTGCCACCACACATGATTTTTTAGGGGGTGGTACACACCTGCAATCCCAGGACTTCAGAGGTAGAGGCAAAGATCAGAAGTTCACAGTCATTTTAGTTACACAGCAAGTGCAAGGCCAGTCTAGGCTACACGAGACTTTGTCTTTTAAAAGAAAAAGTTAAGAGTCATTAAGGGCACTGGTTTTGTGATGGTCAAGACTTAACACTCAAAATCCCAATACCTACATAGGAAGCTGGGTAGCCCTGCACATGCTTGTAAATTTGTAACATTGGTACGTTAGTTCCAAGGAGGTAGAGGCAGGAGGATTGCTGATATTTGTTGGCTTTCAACATGGCTGGCACTTGAGCCCTCCTCATTTCATGGATCGACTGCACCCTGAGGAACAGATGGAGATTGTTGGAAGAGGCCACCTGAAGCCTCTTCTGGCCTCCACGTGCGTATTCAGGTGCACATCTCCACCCTGAGCGTGCTCATGTGTGTATAGGGAAGTGAAGGTACACTCACACACTGCACACGTAAATAAAATAAGTAGCTAATAGATTTCGGTGCTATTTTATTATTTAAATATTCCACACATTTAAACAATGTATTTTGATCACATCTACATCACAAGTGAGGATGTCTTCAGCAATAGGTTCTTACCATCTCGTTACGGTGGATAATCGGGAGCAATGGCCATAACCCGTGGTGTATTGAGGGCCTCTGGGGCCTCCCTGACCAATAGGCAGGTAAGCCATGCCTACTTTTGTTTAATAACCCATGACTTTAGGAACAAGGTTGCCCACCTTGAAGCTGCTCATGTTCTAATGAGAACTGTTTTTAGAAAAAGGGTGTTTTTGATGTGTGTGACTTAGAGATGGCTCTGTGTGACTGATGATGGACATGAGGGTCTGAGGACATCCTACCAGGAAATAGCGACTCGTCATTGCTTATCAGATTCTCAGCCTCCGCCCTTGTTCCCTTCTTCCTGTGTGAACTTCTGAGAGCTATTCCCCATCCCACATCCCCCACAGGAGACAAGATACCCATGGCCTCTCGGATCCAAGAAGAACCCACTTATCACTCGAGTATAGTACAGTCAGAGCCTGGACCCTGGAAGCTCTAACAAGCCAGGCCTGGCTGGCTGTCCTCAACAGGACAGTTAAAGGAACAGATCATAGTGGCAAGCAGAGGAAAGAACTTTACTCAACATGGTCAAATTGGGAAGAGGAACAAGGAGGTCCAGTGCCCCTGTGCTGAAGTCCATATTTGGGGTTTTGACAGGTCCTGGTCTGAGGTTGAGACTTAAATAGAAGGCATAGCTAAGCAGGCCCAGTTGGCCCCCATGTAGCTCTGCCCATCAGTGAGCCATCACTGTCTCCAGTCTCTCCTGCAAGTTGCTCTGAGGAGTTGTCAGAACCGTGTGAACTAACTCTCTTTCTGGGAGACCAGTTCTTTCTCTGGCTGGCTCCAGGCTCCAACCTTTTCCTTCTCCCAGCATTCCTTGGGTAATTCCAATTCCTCGGAGTCCATTGCTTCAGTAGTCTGATGGGCAAAGAGGGCAGCAGAGGCATCTTTAGGACACCTTCACTCCTGCCAAGAAGTTCCCCGCTGACTCCCCCGCTCTCTTCCAGCCCCCCGAACCTCCAGTACACCTCCAAGAACCACTGCCGCTACAACTTCTGCACGCACCCAAAATGACGCAACAGAAGGCAATGGGATGAAGAACAAGAGTGGCCTGGATCTGCAAACCACAATTGGGTTGGCAGTGGCTGCTGCTGGGTTCCTGGCTGGGGTTTTGGGATTGATAGTGTTCCTCAGGTGGAAAAGAAGACAAGGTAAGTGGTCCAAGACTGCACCACAACCCCCATCACACCTCCTGGGTGTTTCCACAGAACAGTCTACAGCAGAGTCATTGAAGGTGATTGTTTACAGTGCAGATCCTAGGGTTCAGTCAGTAAAAGTGCCACGCCAGCATGAGAACCTGAGTTCTGTCGCCATAATGCATGGAATCCAGTGTTGGGGAAGTAGGGACAGGATGATCCCTGGGGCTTGATGGCTAGCCACACTAGCCTAATCAGTGAGCCTCAGGTCCCAGTGAGAGACCCTGTTTTTAAAAATAATAGTAATAATTAATAATTAATAATGTAGGCAGCTGCTGAGGAGTGATAGCACAGGTTGGCTTCTGGCCTCCTCCCGCCCTCTCTCCCCAGTGCACATCTGTGAAGACCTCCTCTTCAGTCCAGAGTCAGGCTCGGAAGCTTGTACTCAGAGTAACTGGGGTCTTTTTGTCAGTGTTTGTTTGGTTTGGATGGCTGCAGGTGTGCACTGCTAATCCCCCTCAGAATCTGCTTTAAGTGAATTCCTCAAGTGAGGCTTCTGCAGGGTCAAATCTGTGAACCGCCCAGTCTAGTCACATCTTGGTTCTTCTCTGTTGACTTAGTCATTCATCGCCAGCCCACTCCTTTGGCTTTCAGAGGAGAAAGGACGTGCCTGGGAGAAAGCCAGGGGGAAAGCAGAGCAGACAGGAAGTTGCCTCAGCTCAGCTGTGTCCGTTACTTCCCAAAATCTGACTTGAAACTGGAAGATCACAAGTAGATAAAGCATGAAGTCCCCTAAGTCTGTCAGGGATAGGGGAGGTGTCCCAAGGGCTGAGTGTTCATTCTGGAAGGAGCTGTGGTGTTGACAGACACAGTCAGAGGAGAGGTGGGTAGTTAGATAAACTCTCAAAGGAAGACGAATAATATAGAGTCAAAGAAAATATAATGACAGTCAGAAGCAGCAAGATGACTCAGGAGATCAAGGCACCAGCAACGACCAGAGCCCACATGGCCAAAGGAAAGCACTGTTTCCTGTATGCTGTCCTCTAACACATACACACATACGCGCACACACACATGCATACACACACACACATACACACACACCATGGCATGTGCATACTCACATACATGGTAAATAAATAAATATAATAAAATAAAAACAGTGACAGCCAATGGTGGTCCACACCTGCACTCACTACCCTTGGGAGGTGGGGGCAGGAGGATTTTGAGTTCAACGGCAAACTTAATTACTGTAGTGAGTTCAAGACCAGCCTGGACTATATGAGAATTTATCTCAACCCCATCTCCCTCCCAGAAAATATCCAGGAAAGTGCTAGGAATCTTGTAGAGGACACTTCCTGGCCTTGCAGGAAAGGGAGACCATCTCAAGGACTGTGCTGTGTGCTGTGTGGTGCCAGTGTGGGAGGCAGATGGCAGAAGGAGGCAAAATGAAATGGCCACCTCAGCTTCCTGCTGTGGTGACATCAATGTGTGTGAAAGGTCTCAGATGGGGGTTCAAGAGGGCCACTGAGACAGATTATTGAAGAGGAAGGGCTTTATTTAAAAGTTATCAATTCCATGGACAGACAAAGATAACAGCATGCCAGGGGGGGCTCTAGGGGGAAGTCAGGCCCCAGTACGGTCAGGGCTTTAAAGAGAGCAGTGGCGGTTTCTTTGTAACTTTCTGAGGATGGAAGTGGCTTCAATAGCACAACCCTGTACCAGGAGGGAGACAGAAATTTGCTGGGAAAGAGCAGAATGTGTGGCCACTGATCCCCTCTTTGACGGAAAATTGCTTCCTTGGGCCTAGGTGGAAGTCTGTCACCTGCAGAGTCACAATGTCTCAGTAGTGTATCTGTGAGAGGGAACGAGTTCCTGCATGTACTGTGGCTGAAGCAACAGCTGGAGTCTAACATTGCCTTCTTATGGTGTGACGAACAGGTTGGAGGTGGATCAGGTTGTGAGGGTTTAACACAGTGTGGGCTGTACCCAGAGAAGAACGGGCAGAGCCAGGAAAAGCTCAAGGCAAAAGCATCCAGACTCTGTGACTAGCCCCGAGTTGGAGGGTGTGTCCATCACCACAATGTGTGGAGATGCAGGCAGGAAGATCAGTAGTCCAAGGTCAACCTTGGGCTCGGAAGACCTCAAAGAAACACAGAAACAGTGATTAGACTGCAAAGCAGCTCTTAGGGAGAGTTCAGGCCCCAACGTGAATACATGGGACCAGAGAACAGGAACAAGTCTCAAATTTGTTGAAAAATAGTGATGAAACCACCAAGCCATATAGGGACCGCACAGCAAGCCATATAGGGACCGCAACCACCCAGCTACATAGGGACCAAAAGAGGAAGCCTGTTTGAGGGTGTGTGGCAATGGTCACTTTCCCACTGCTGTGGGAAAGCATCAGGACCAAAAGTAACTTGGTGAGAAAAGAGTTCATTTTGGCTTGAGGTTCCAGAAGGAAGGTTAACAATGGTGGGGCAGCTGAAGCAGGACACTGGGCAGTCACATCTTCATATGCAGATGCAGAAAACAGAGAGGAAGCTGGAAGTGAGGCAGGCAATACAATCTCCAAACCCACACCCAGTGCCGCACACCTCCTCCAGAAGTCTTGCACCTCCCAAGTGTTCCACAACCTCCTCAACCAGGTCACGTGTTCAAATAGATGCGCCTATGGAGAAGATTATCATTCAAACCTCCACAGGGGCAAGCTCGTCAGCATTGTATATTATATTTGAAATGTTGTATGGATCTGACAGAGCTTCCTAAAACAACAACAACAATAACACTTGTGTTTTAAGTCCAAAGAAAGAACAAAGAGAGATTGCTCAGTGGTTAGAAACACTTGCTGTTCTCGCTGGGGCCCCAATTCAGTTCCAAGCACCCATTGGCGGCAGCTCACAACCACCCATAAACCTAGCTTCGGGGGTTCAGTGGTCTCTTCTGGACTCCTTGAGCACAAGAACCCACATGATACACATTCACGCAATCACATATACATACACACAGATAAAAATATATCTTTAAACCTAAGAAAGTAAAGTAAAACATTTAGGAAGAAGGCTAACCTGAGAAGCCAGATAACTTGTTCTCCAAAACACAGTGGGTGACATTGTAGAAGAAAGAAAAAAAGAAAGCAGAGAGTAGGAAACATCTCTTTCATTCATAAAAACAGAAAAATTAGTTAAGATGTTTATGCTAAGGGGCTGAAGAGATAGCTCAGTGGTTAAGAGCACTGGCTGCTCTTGCAGAGGACCTAGGTTCAATTCCCAGCACCCACACAGTGGCTCACAGTTGTCCGTAACTCCTGTTCCAGGGGATATGATGCTCCTCCTTTGACCGCTACAGGGACCAGGTACACAAGGGTGGAACAGACATATGAGCAGGCAAAATATTCATACAATAAAAATACATAAAGGTATAATTTTTAAAGCATCTATATTTCAACAACCACCAGTGGACTCAAAATAATTCCCATTTAAACTACAACAGCAGTTTTGTAAAAAGAGTTCATCTTCTCCAGTTGACACACTCTCAAAACCAAAGAAGATGAAATGAAACAAAACACCGCCAACAAGATGGCTGATAACGGAGGCCGCTCACTGCCTGATCTCAGCATTTATTAAAAGTTGCAAGAGGGTTTAAAGGGATGGCTCAGCAGTAAAGAGCACTGGCTGCTCTTGCAGAGGACCTGGGTTCTGTTTCCAGCACCCCTTCCCCCCACAACACAACTTACAACTGCCTGTAACTGACTGAAGCTTTAAGGGTATCTGAAGCCCTCTCCTGAATTCTGCAGGCATTTGCTCTCGTGTGCATATGCCTCCACACAGATGCACATAATTTAAGAATTATTTAAAAAAAATTTTAAAGCTACAGTTGTGTTCAAAGGGTAAAGGAGTCAATCTCCACGTCTCAGCACCTGAGTTAAGTTCCCTGGGAGCCACTCCTGCAAGCTGGCCTCTGACAGACTGTGGCACACCACCTGTCATAGAATATAATAAACAAGTGGCAATTTTTAAAAACTCTAAAATCTATAGTAACTAAAGCAGTATAGTATACACCAAGACAAATAGACAAGTAGAATAAAATATAATCCAGAAGGAGGCAGTTTCTAAGGGTGCTAAAAGGAAGGTGGGTACGTCTAGAGTGTAAATCAGGTATGGGCTGAGAGAGAGCTCAAGGTAAGGTGAAGGATGGGGACAAAAAGGAGACAGGATGGGGCATGGACCAGGCAGAGATTTGGGAGGAGCGGTTGCTAGTAAGACAACAGCCCCGCAAAGGCAGTTCTGGGCTCCTCCTCACTGCCCCCTTTCCTCTGAAGGTGGTCTGAACATAGAGGACAGTGTGGGGTGATGGAGGATCAGCGCCAATGTCACACTGACACTGTTTCTTCCCCGACAGGCCAGAGGACTAAAACTGAAACCCCATCCAGGTGAGTGCCATCTCTGCAAGAGCAGCCAGAGCTCTTAACCACTGAGCCATCTCTCCAGGACCTTCAGATAACATTTAAAAATAAAAGGAGAGCCGTGAACAGGGGCTCTCCACACCATCCCCCTCCACCCCCCACACCACCACCACCACCCACCCCCGCTCATCCTGTCTGCTTTCTCCTTCGTCCTCAGTGGTGCCAAGCTCCACCAGCTTCACACACTGACAGGAGTGCAGCAGAGTCTCAGGGAGTTCCCATCTCAGTACAGCTTCTGCCCCACCCCCATGCCTCATGGGGTCTTTCTTCTCTCCTGTTTCCTAAGCTTCCCTCTCTGTGACTGGTTTCTTCTCAGCCTTGAACATCTACCTGGATTCATCCAGTTCTCCCATCTTTTCCTTTCTTCTCTCTGGTTGGTTGGTGAACCCCATTCCCCCAGAAACCTTTGTTCTAGATCTTCCCGTCTCTCCTTCTTTTCTCTTTGCTTTCCAACCTCTCTGTCCTTTTCTCCTGTCCTTTCTTTTCCTCATCATACATTGCCTGTCCTAAGCCCTCTTCCTCTGACCCCACTTTTTCTGAGAAAGGGTCTCATTTAGCCCAGGCTGGCCTCACACTCACTAAGTAGCCAACAATGACCTTGAACTTCTGATCCCTTTGCCTCTACTTCCTAAGAGTTGGGATGACAGGCATGCACCACACCTGGTTTATAAGATGCTCTGGATGGGACTCAGAGGCTCGTGCGTGTGATGCAAGCACTCGACTAGCTATAGTACACCCCCAGCCTCCTCCCTCTTTCCTCTCCCTGCTCCTTCAGCCAGATGCTCTTCCTCCAATCCAAGTTCAGGTCCCTTCTGTAGTAAAATACACATATACATATACATATACATATACATATACATATACATATACATATACATATACATAT